AAATATAATGCGGGGATTAAAAAAACCTGTTCTCAATGAGTCTAACAAGGGACCTCACTTAACTTATGCTTTGGGAATTTTCTATAAATTTGCCAAATCACTAATTTGGACCCCCTGAGAACGAAAATTTTACTTAGAACTCCCACAACTCAATAATAAAAATTTTATTTTTTTTGGTCAAAAAAATCTGGAAAAAATTTTCGAAACTCTAAATTTGACGTCATTCCTAGTCTACATACCTTTTCTCAACTTGTATGAACATAAAAACTCGAATTTTCGAGTCCCTGTCAATATTAGATCAAGTTTTTGAAAATTCTTCGGAAACCGGATTTTTTCAAATTTTTGGAAAAATCGCTGTAACTCTCTTCAAAATGGTTTGTGGCCCGTGAAATTTGAACTGAAACATTCCAGGTATGCCAGAATAACGTGATAAAATTTTGAAAAGATTCTGAAAAAATTCACTTTTTTTCCAATTTTTTTCGGATGAACAGGGGGGACCATATCAAGCAAAATTTTTCGAAAAATTTTTTTTTTCCAAAAAGTGTCGGAAATTGTTTGAAATGGTGAAAAATGATTGTAATTCATTCGAAACGGAATTTGAACACCGTTTACCGTACTACTATTGAGATTTCCCTCAAAAACTGTACTGAAAAACACGGAAAATGAAAATTTACCCCGATTTTCGGGATTTGTGGGATTTCTCGTTATGATTTTTGGCTTCAGGGGGCCAAAATGTACCCGCCCGCAAATTTATAGAAAATTCCCAAAGCATAAGTTAAGTGAGGTCCCTGTAAGAATGTTTTCAACATTGCTTATTACTTTCTCAAATTGGTTGTGGAATTCCCAGTGTTTCCTTTATTTTTGAAGTGATAATAAAAGCGTTTTGGCTATTTTAAAAGAGCAATTGTTAATGGACGTTCCAGAAAACCACGAACCTGGTGAATAACTTCTTGGGGTGTCATTGCAGGGAGCTGCAGGTTGATCGAAAAGAAAATCAATTGGCACATTATAGTCTGAAAAATTTTAACAATACATTTTGGCTTTTTCCGGTTTTAGTGGTCCAATGAGCAAATCGCTGGTCCCAAAAAAGCGCAATGGTCCCATAACAAAATGGTTGGTCCCATCAAGACTGGTCCCAACACGACTGGTCCCATATATAGAATGAGGGTCCCACTATGGAACCTCTGGTCCCATCTTCACTTACTTTTTTGAGGGTAATATTTCACAAAAGAGGAAAAAGTCTGTTTGGGGATTTTTCCCACGTATCTTGAATGGAACATCGAAAGTATATGTTCTGAAGCAACAAAGTTCAAAAAGCGGAGACAATCTTTTTCAGAGTGAACTATGGATAGTGGTACTGTGGCGTTGTCATCAGTATTTTTCAATATTATCTCAACGCTTACAATCCATAATGGTAGGTACTAACTAGGGTTCCGCAAAAAGTTAATTTTCAAAATAAAATTGCGTGAAGCTTCAGTGAAACAGGTTTGGATGAGCTTCATATGAGTCTACTTTCGAATAAATGAAGCAAAGCCTTTCCAATGTTCCATGAGCTAATTTTTAAAATGCAAGAAATTTTTTGGCGGAACTCCTAATAGTAACCAAGGGAAACTTACTTGCCGGAAACAAACAGTTGGAATTTAAAAAAAAAACGAGCTTAAATATTTTCATGCATTTCTTCTTACTTGCAAAATATCAAATATTTGTAAGAGAAGGTCTCGAAAACGGGGTTCCAAAAATGCTTTCCTTCTTTTCAGCTGCTGATAAAGGGACCGCTGGTCCCAACATTGGACCACCTGTCCCATTCTGGGACCGTGATTTTATTGATGGGACCTCCCGGGACCAGCTGGTCCCATATGGGACCTTGCTTCCCTCCCTTGGGACCATGATTTCCGACTTGGGACCAGTGTTTCCACCATGGGACCAGCGATTTGCCCATTGGACCACTAAAACCGGAAAGAGCCTACATTTTTTACATTTTTCGTGTATCTGCACTTCTTTACAATTTTCTAACATAGCTAACTAGAAACTGAGTTTTGATATACCGTGGAAAAGTTCAAAGAAACTTGTTGAACTAACCTTTACATAACATAATTATCTTTGCGTGTCGAACTTCGTTGACTTTATTTTTGACTTCGAGTAACCTCATTTTCCCTTCCATCTCTACTTGCTTTTCCTTTATTGCACGGTTTTCGTTACGTAGTCTTTCACACTCCAGTTGCAATTTCTCCGTTTCTTTTCGAATCTCTTCATTTATCAGCTTTTCTATTACAGATGTGATGACTCTCGGCTTACTTGATGTTGTAGAAGCACAGTCTGAAAATGATTCTGATTTTTTTTGAAACCGACTTGTCGAATAAATGTGTTTTACATTGTCTAAATAAGAAGCAAAAATAAGAAGAAGCAAAATCCAATGGTAGCAACCATTCGATCAGGAAATTTTCAGTTTCAAAGTCAGTGACTGAACCAAAAAAAAATTCTAAGAAGGTGTTTTTAACGGTGAACACGTGTACAATCATCAGAGATTCTGACTCATTCTGATAAAGAATAATATAGTTGAAATACTTGCCTTTGGCTTTCATCTGTTGTGCTGACAGGTTTGGCTCCGCTTGCGTTGAAGTCGTCTGTTGAGATTGCTTTTTGAGTGTGGTGTTTCCGTCTAGAAAAATCAGTGCTCAGATCGATGCAGAGAAGTTGAAAAACATCATTTGATAAAGAAAATAAAAGAACAAAGTCATGGGATAGTGGCCCTTGAAGAGTGGGGGATTCTTCAAAGAACGAAATGAGTACAAACGTTGAGTTCAAATGCCCAAACCAATTTCATTCATAATTTTTGGATCAGTAGTTCCAAACGTGTGGTACAGGTCTTACAGTTAAATCATTTTACAACGTATTCATCAAATTTCGTTAGAAAATCTATGTATTTCTCTCTTATTTTGAAATTTATATAAGAAAATGATAAACGCATGGAGTTTGAAGCTTTCTCCTATTTGGATTTTAACTTTTTGGCAGTGGTGCTGAGCCGGCTACGAAATTTATTTGCTGGTGTCTTGATTTGTTAGGGAATTTCATCGTTGCTAAATTTCAATACACATATTCGAAAAATGATTTAGCCATATACCTGAACCCCATTTTTGAGATTTTTAATTTTATGATGACAACAATCGGCAATGTTCTGGAAACATTACTGCTGATTGGGCTACTGATTGGAAATAGATAAAGAGCACTTCAAAAATCAAAGTGACCAAACTGGTGAAAGTAATGAAAAAGACCCAGTTTGCCTAAAAACAAGTCAACAAAAAAAAACCGGAAACCGAAAGCTAAGAAAAGTATTAGATTAATCTTCATTGAACCTGCCTTTTAACAACAAAGATGTTTCGCTCAATAAAAACCTTGCCAATATTTTGATCCCACGTAAGCACTTTATCTGTGAAGCAAAAAAAAAACAAAATTAATTTCTAAAAAACAAAATTGAGCATAGAGTCTGTCTTTTCTCTGAGATATCACTAGGCCAACGCTGCGGTAACGAGAAGCGCAACTTATAAGGGAAGGTGGCAACAAACGCGTGCTGAAGAACGTTAAACACATGTGTGCAGCAAAACCATAAGGTGAAGAAGAGGAAGGGGAAAATGCTGTGGATGGCAAGCGATAGGGGGTACGAAAAACGACCCGCCATTTTAGACAAATGGAATTTGAAGGTAGGATTTATAATTTGAGTCTGAGAGAATAAAAATATGAGAGATTTTTTTTGATCCTATTGCTTCTTCACAAGTAATTTGATTTCCAGATAACTCCTGGACTCATCTCTCTTGTTATCACTCACCATTGTTGCTTTTTCGTGATGGCTTTTCGGTGTCAGCGATCGATGATAGCCTCTTTTTCTTCGAATGTGTTTGAGGTGAAGGAACTGAAAAATTGAATAAACTACTAAAGGTTGAATGAACTGATTTCAACAATTACCTCTTGGGCGCTTCATGCTTCAAAACCGGATATTTAACCTGCAAAAATATAGCATACACGGTTGCCTAGAATTTTTTGAGTTAAAAGAAAAATATGGAAAAAATACGAGAGGAAAAACAGAATGAAAGCCACAATTTCATATATTAACAGAACTTGCTAAGAATTCTTTTAGTGCAAACAAACCACACACATCGGAATAATGTAAGAAATGAGAGGGCGCAAGCAAATTACTAGAGGGAGGCAACCGGCACCTAAGAGAAGAAAGAAAAAAGGGGCGGGCATAAAACGAAAATATGACGAGAGGTGAGCGGCACAAGAAGAACATATGAGGAGAAGCAAAAAAAAAAGACATGCTTGAGTGAAAAAGGAAGAACTGTGTTATAATTGTTAGCCAATCATGAAAAATGAAAGCATATTTAACTCCTTATCAAAAGATAAATTATTTTTAACTGAACGGAGTAATTAATTAATGCAAAATTCAAATTTCTGTGCTGTTTTGTATTTTTACGTACCGAAAATAAAGAGAACTTTACGAACAACTGGTTTTTTACATTTGAAGTGCTTGTGCATCTTGGTTTATTCAGGTTTTTCACTTATCCTATATTTGGATCTTTTGTTTTACAAAACGTGGTGGAGGTTTTGAGTATTTTTGCGCTAGAAAATATTGAGAACTCATATGTAACGATTGAATCATCATCTGTCAATTCGAAGTATTTGCACTAAAAGTAAGACAAGCCGGGTTTCCAGTCTGCCGAAGTGTTTACAGCTAGTGTAGTTAGCCTGCTAATCCATATTTGCAAGTGAGTGAACGAGGTTTTTAAAATCCAATGCTCAATGCATTTGAAACTTATTTGCACAGTCGGAAGTATGTTCATTTTTTTAAATTTTCGGAAAATGTTCTTCAGGGTGTTTAAAGAAACATTTCCACGTGAGACGTCAGCTAATTTGCTTTCATCTTGATGAAATAGGAAAAGCAGGTAACAAAACAGTGAACTATAGACCAGGTAGCATAGAAGTCATGGAAAAAAGTTAAAACTTCATAGCACGAGTGGGGTTCGAACCCACGCGGTATTGTCTACCATTGAAATTTGAGTCCAACGCCTCAACCATCGTGCTACAAAATGATATGAGACAGATGGCATGAAGGAGAAAGAGTGAAAGGTACTGTTGCCAATTAGCTGAAGGGGAAGGATGAACACTAATATGGGCAAGGGTTGGAAAGAAAAACGGAATAAGTTTGATGGATGTCAAATATAACTGTTCATCTTTTCAGAGCTAGCGTTTCAGTTAAATCAAAAAGTGTTATTGTACTTGCGAGTTTTCCATACAATGACGAAGTGACCATTGCTTGTTTTCTGCAACGCATTCACTCATCTTAATACTTTGCTGACTCATAAAAATCATTATCGTAAAATATCAGCCATTTCGAGAAGTTTTCTTATTCCTTTCTCGTCCGCCTTCTGAAGATAAACACCAGCACAGAAAAAACGGTTTTTTCTGTGCTCTATCTCTTCGATTTGTCTTACTTATTGCGAAAATCTCCATTTCTCATCATCTCTCAATGTATTCAAATTTAGAGCGTGTATAGGCATAGTGATTCATGAAGAAACAAAAGTGTTTTTTTTTATTTGGAACTTTATTGGAAACCAAATAAAATCAAGTAGAATGATAAAAGTTACAGAAAAGCAAAAAAAAAAACAAATGAAGTGAGATCTTGGCTGAATAAGCATAAAGAGATAACAACAAGTAGGAGAGTCGCAATAGCATCACTCAATTATTTTCTCTCCATTTTTTTCGGTAAATGTTATATCTGATTCCGTGTCCAAAGATGGGCGAACATTCCTAATAAATCTCTTCACAACCTCTTTGTTGTAATCCCCTCCTTTTTGTCTCTCAATCACGTCATATAAATCGCGTAACCATTTATAATTCCATGGGAGTTTTTCTTTTGACGGGAGCCAATCAGGCTGAAAGTAGTCAATTTACAGATACCAAGAAACAGTCAAGAACGCTCACAATTTTTGTTGAAAACTCGTGATTTTGTGCGTTTTTTCTATTCAGCGAGCGATGAAGGTGGTACAACAAATGAGAACGTGGATTTGCATGGAAAATGCATTGTGACCGGAATAAAATTCACGCTTTTCTGAGTTCTTATTTGTAACGTTCTCATTTGTTCAGTTCTCATTTGTTGTACCACCAGCGATGAATTTTTTGAGACTATGCATGTGGCAGAGCTATTCATCAGAAAATTTTTAGAAACAGTTTTTCAGTATCAAAATTATACTCTTCCTTTTTCTCCAGTTGGCTTAGACCTGCTACTAGTTTAGAATCTGTTTTTTTAAATTTCGATGCATAAATACCGAAACGTCTTGTCCTGAGTTAACGAGAAACCTCGCCAACTTTTTCGAGGTTTCTTATTGTTTTGCAAAATATCAAAAACTAATTGAAACATTCAGCAACTCTAGTACACAATTTGTAAAGAGTCGTGTGATACATTCATGGATTAAGAAGAATACACTACTACATGAAGAGTATAATCTGATTAAGTTAGAACAAGTTGAAAAAAAACCGCACCTTTGCTCCTGTCTCTGCCTCCTGGATTATTGAACAGAGTTTCAAAACCTCGACAACACTAACATAGTCTTCAATAAGTGGATATTTACATAGACATCTGTCATCAATTGGTGTATTGGTGCTTATCGAGATACCGAAATCAATCAAAGCCAATTTCAAATTCTGAAACAAACAAATAATATTCACAAATAAAAACCAAATTTACCCCTCCAGAGTCGGTATTTACTGTAACATTTTCAATATGGATGTCTCGGTGAAACCATCCACAAGCGTGTAACAATTCTACACATTCCATAAGTTGCATTCCGATTCTCAAGGTATTCTCAAGAGTGAACTTTTTGTTCTCATTTTGCTCGAGCATTGTTTTTAGGCAGATCCCTTGGTATGTCATCACTAAAACTATAATTGAGTTTGGCTTCATTTGCTAAGTCACTTACCAATGCAATCAAGTCTGTCTTCAATTGTGAACGTGCATATGAAGTTGGGGAAATGATGAGTTACAGGTAAAGATCTCAAAACTTCCAATTCCGTTTCGAAATACTGTTTATTAGGAAAGGAGTCACTGACTTTCAAAACCATTTTTTTGTCAGGCTCGTCCTCTTTGGTAACAGTGAAACATTTTCCGAAGTATCCACAACCGAGTATTTTTTGGATTTGAAATTGGTGAAACTTCTCGCCAGTTGCTGGGCAGAAATCAGCCCTGGAAAACGTTGATGAGAACATTGCTCAACTTTTGTTTAGTGCAGTCATAAAAATGAAAATATTGGAATCAAATCTGATAGTTAGGGTAAAAACGATGGGAAAAACAGAATTTTCAATTTCGAACATTCAATTGATTTTTTATCTATGGATTTTGTTATTAAACTTGGAATCGTTTGAGTTAGTTTTTCAATTTTCGAAAGATCACCAATGATTTCTGTTTGAACTTCTTACTCGGTTTCATGGTCAATTGGCTAATGTGTTGTGATGTGTGGCCACGAAAAAAACCATATTCATTTTTTGATCTCCCTTTTATCGGCAGCAGAAAACTATTTACATCTTTGCGCTTTTTCTCTTTTTCTCACCATAGTAGTTTTGCTCACTACGAGTTCTGATTCCCGACAGAAATTAGCCCCCCTATATAGTTATTCCATTTACAGTACCGGCCATATTTATACGAACATCCCCGTTTCCCAGTTGTTTTCAACCGACTTTGAGCATGTGCCACCCAGTCAAATCATTCTCCACGGCTCAAAAATTTTTTTGAGCGTAACACATGTAGCTAGATTTTCATTTTTGTAGTTGACAACTTTTTTATGCAACCACTCTCTCAAGGGACAGATCTCTTCTAAATCACTTTTCTCAGATATTGCTCGTTTTCTAAACGAGTTTTGATGATTTCAAAAGGTCCTTCATGGAACAAGCTGTATCTGCCGGGAGAGCGGTTGCACAAAAAAGTTGTCAACTACAAATATGAAGATATAGCTATGCGTGCTACCCAGAGCTGTCGAATCGGCCGAAAAAAAGCCGAGGCCGTTTTTATATCTCGCTTCCTAGCGGTGGGATTTTTTCGATGTAAGAGGCGGCCTTGTAGAGCATAAAAAGTTATGCATCTTGGTGAAAGGACGGCCCGATTGAGTTATCCGCGGCCGACTTATAGCAAAAAGCCGCCGGCCGCGGCCGCGATTTCGACAGCTCTGGTGCTACCCACAAAATTATTTTAAGCTACAAAAAAAGTTTTAACCGTGAGGCGCATGCTCAAAGTAAAAATCACAACCAACTGAAAACGGGGGTGTTGCAAGTCCCTCAACTATTATTTTCGAATATCTCACCGAGTGAATAAATTAGTATTCGATTTTATTTGTCTAAATTTGGAAAAAAACACTTACATCTTACGGAAATGAGGATATTGACTGCAACAAATAACAGTTCTGGAGTGAAGGACCTGAAAAATTTACTTTTTTGAAAAGGAAAGACAAAGATTGAATTCAAATCCTGAAAATATACTTACTTATTGAAAAGTGCAGAAGTGAAAATTTTCTTCACAAACTGGTGGTAACGAATTTTGAATAACAGTCAATTTTTTATCTGCGATGGTTTTAGCAGGAAAGATGAGGAAAAGTGTATACTTAGGGAGAAAAGGAGGATTGTTGAGTGAGAGGAAACAAGAGAGAGGGAAAGGAGAAGCGAGAAAAAAATGATGAAAGTAGAAAGTGCGCCGGAAAAGACAAGGTCGCCAAATGCATTTGTTTATAGAAATGATACTGACTGGCCTTGATACTCTGCATTTAGTAATTATGTTGACATTTACAAGTTGCAAAGCTCTAACGAAAAACAAACTATTGAATAAGAAGAATTTTGTAAAAAGGAGAACAAAGCCAAAGAATACAGATTCACGTTGAAGTTTGAAATGTTTTTACTTGAAATGAATGCTATGAAAAGTCTTCAGCGTTTCTGGCATAAAGAGAATTGATGGAGAATTCTTTCGGTTTATTCGATTATTCTGAAATAACTGATAGGTAATTCTAATCTAGAACAACGACCTTGAAATCATTTCGATCCGATCAATTCGAGGTACAAATAAAATTTTCAATAAATGCCAGAAGGCATAGCGGTACATTTTTTTAGAACAAAAATATCTTCTTCTTGTAAACTTGACAAAGCTGTAAATCACTGTCACTCTTCCTGAACCGACAAAATAACTTTCAGAGTAACACCACCGTTCTTATCAGTTTCCTTATCATCTATTCCGTTCACTTTCAAAGTTTCATAACGGGATCAGGTGGTTTGTTGAAGTAGAGCCAAAAGAAAGATTTTGTGGCTTGAATCTCCATCACTGATCCTGTACCGACAAAATATTTTTCAGAGTGACACCACCGTTTTTATCAGTCTCCTTATCATCTATTCCGTTCACTTTCAAAGTTTCAGAACGGGATCAGGTGGTTTGTTGCAGTAGAGCAGAAATAAAGATTTTGGGGCGTGAATCTCCATCACTGATCCTGTACCGACAAAATAATTTTCAGAGTAACACCACCGTTCTTATCAGTTTCCTTATCATCTATTCCGTTCACTTTTAAAGTTTCAGAACAGGATCAGGTGGTTTGTTGCAGTAGAGCAGAAATAAAGATTTTGGGGCGTGAATCACAATCACTGTTCCTGTACCCGCGGGAAAATCTTCACAGAGGTAAAATTGTTTTTATCAGTTTTCTTATCATTTATTCCAGTTACTTCTGAAGTCTCAGAACAGGAGCACATGGTTTGTTGAAGTAGAGCCAAAAGAAAGGTTTTGCGGCGTGAAGCACTCTCATTGGAGCAGAAAAACAGTAGTAATTGTAAATGAAATACGGAATTTTGTGTTATACGTGCCTTCCTATCGCCGACGGCTTATCAAAACGAGTAATACCAGGCTAAAACTTTGAAAGTGACTGAGAATAAAAGTGCCAAACGTGACAAAAAAAAACTGAAATTTAGATTTTTATTCTCATCGGAGCAGTAGTAGTTGTGCATAAAACGCGAAGTAGCAGAAACGACAACAGACCTCCCAGTTGACATCGAACCCATAG